CTCGGTACTGTACTGTACTGGACGTTTTAGTACGCAGTTAAATACTGGAATAAAAATACTGCTGTACTGTACTAAACCTGCCCGTGAACATTTTGTCCACCGAGCGACTTTTGCCCCATTTCAAAATCTTTGAGGATATTTTGCCGAAGATTTACTCCCATAAAAAGTGAAACAAAATCTTTATCCGCAAATGTTTGAAAATTTAGACATTTTTTCAAAGATTTGGTGACCATAAACATGGGCCTTACATCGACGAATTTCAGAATGTTGCTAAATCGGAAAATCGTCGACAATTTCCCACAAAACGAGCCTCCCTCCGCTGTTATATCTGATTATTTTTTCCTTATCTTGGCGAGACTGCCAGGAACGATCCTCAGAACGATGGCTTAAATCAAAATATATTTCATATTTCCTTATTTCGGAAAATTTTTGAGTCCGAAAGAGTCTAGTGCTCGCGAATATTATTTTGATGAACAACAGCTCGGCGTAGACTGTCCGGGATGCAGGGGGGAATCGCCCGATTAGGACGAAGTTCGCGTCGGTGTAGCGCTCGAGACGCGCGACCGCCCGGCATGACGGGCAGGCGGTGGTGGAAAGCCTTTTCTGGTGGACACCGCGAAGGAGAGGCGTCGACGCGAACGTCTTGCTCTAAGGGTGGGGCCGCATGCCGCCGCTTCGCTCACAGCGCTCCAGTTCTGCCCCTTCATCAGCACTCGAGAGCTGAAGCATATTGTCTTGGAGGGTTCCTGATGATAAGATGATCAGCCCTCATTGGCACGTCTGATCTTTCGCGCCAATCTGCATCTCGTAGGGAACATACATTGGCTTTTCTTTACCATGTCCACCCCTTGGCTTTGGTTCACCTACTGTTCCACGGCCGGGTGAACGGTCCTCTGATTTGCTTCTACACAATACCGCTCAAAATTCGTCCAATCTTCGGTATCCATACGATTCATGTAGTCTAGACATGAATACAGGTAAATGGTTGTTGTAGCCATCACTGATTTGTCCAGGATCCCAACTTCCCCTTCTACTTCCGGGGAAAGTGACTCATGACGGCGGTACCATCACGTAACGCCTGGTGCTTGGTTGTACTGAAAGCGTGCCTCGCGGACGTTCGACGTCATGGCGAAGCGAGGGCCAGGACAACCTCACACCTCCTCGTTGGCCATTTCTAGCCAACCACGGCGAGGGCCAAACCACATGATAGTCCACACCTCTCAAAGTTAAGAACCACGGCACAGCAATGGCGGCACGCATATATATGCGACAACACCAATGCAACGAACATGGTTAGCTTCCGGTTGCTTTCCTACGTAATTTCCTCTCTGACTCCCGGTGCGCCTCCTGTCCCTGTCCATGTCCATGTCTGTTTGTCTGTGTCTCTCTACCTCTCTCTCTCCCCCACCCTCTCTGTCTGTCTCCGATCCCCCCTCTCCTTTGGCTCCTGTACGACTGAGGTTTTAGACCGGAGCCTGGTGACAAACCTGCCGAAAGAGGCCATGTCGTACCTCGGGTTCCCCTTCCCAGAAGAAAACCAATCCTTCACCACTCATGCCCAGGTGCTGGACTACCTCTGCTCCTACGCGGACGAACACAACCTACATCCTCTCATCAGCCTCGGGCGCTCCGTCGAATCCGTCCGCCTGGCTAGTCTTCCCTCCGTCGGGGATTCCTCGCACGCATCCGGCAGCGTTGGCGACAGTCTGAGTAGCAGCGAAGACTCATCGGAAGAAGCGGCGACGGGGACCGTCACTGCCACTGCTGCAGGCCGGTACTAGGGAGGAATCGACCAAGGGCAATCAAGCACGGGGGTGGAGAGCACAACGCTCGGGAGGTGGGAGGTGGTGTACCGGCGAAGAAGCGCTCCTGCTGCGGCTGCCGTTGCTGATGATGATGACCAGATCGTGGCGGAGGTGTTTGACGCCGTGTGCGTTTGCAGCAGGCACTTCGACGAGACGTACACACCGACGGTTGCGGGGCTGGACGAGTTCCAGGGGACGGTCATGCACGCCAGGGAGTACGACATACCGGGCGTTGAGGCGTTCGTGGGGAAGAGGGTGCTGTGCGTCGGCGCTAGGTCTAGCGGGACGGACATCGCTCGCGAGATCTCCTCCGTCGGTAAGGCTGAATCTATCTCCTAGAAGAACACCAGTTTTCTCATTTCGCAAGAGCTCTGGCAGTGTACAAAGGAGACGAAGATCATGGGCTCTCAGGCTTGTCCTCCTCCCGCTGGAAACACCGTTCGCGTGATGCAGCAGTGCTACACATTCTTGCAAGTTTTTGTTGCGCCGCGTATTGTTGTTGAGGTTGATGTACTGACGTCGCTTGGCTCGCCGCACGTCCGCATGACCCCCGTCTCACCCGCACAACGTCGTACCTTCCTTACACAGCTTTTGTGCTCGTCATGCTCACGCGTGCGCATTCCGTCGTGGGGGGTTGTTGTTGTCCCATGCTGTGCCAGCGCACGCGGTCCACGTGTGCGACAGGAGCAACCCTGTCACCTCCAAGGGCAGAGAAAGAGGCAACGTTTGGTCGCGGACGGCGCTGGAGAAGTTCGAGGGCGCCAACGGAGTGCGGTTCAAGAATGGAGAGCTTGTTGAGGTGGCTGTTCTTTGTTTTGTCTCACAAGCTGGGTTGAGCGCATCCCGGGGATGCCATGTTTCTCGTGGCCCGAGAGTCTTGCTCACCCCACTGGGTTGGTACCGTCTCTTTTCACGGTATATTCTCGTTTTATATGGCCCTTGGTGATGGTGCAGTCAGTCGTTAAAGGCGCCTAGCATCAACACACGGCATAACGCTAAATGGGACTGCCGCGTGTCGGTGAGAGCCATTATTTCCGTCCCCATTAAGATAGATGCCCATACTGTTCCCCCCCGGGCCCGCATTTTTGACACACTGAGCGTTCTGCCTGCAACCTGCAAAGCACAGGTAGACACCGTGGTGTGGTGCACCGGCTACAACTACGCTTTCCCGTCCTTGGAAGGCTCCGGGCTGCTCACCGCGCCGGCGTTGAAGCGCGTGCATCCTGTGTTCGAGCACCTCCTCCACGTGTACCACCCGTCCCTGTCATTCATCGGTCTCCCTCAGAGGTAGGTGCAAACCGTTAGTCTCGAATTTGGTGTCTGTCAAGCCCCAAGTAGAATGTTCTTGTCCGACAAAGCGAGCATGATGGAGTTTTTCTCTGCCGTTGCCGACACCCGTCGTGTGCTGCCCTGCCGCACATCTGGTGCGGTAGAACGCTCGAGCCTGTGAGTGTAAAGCTAGAGTATGCTTTGAGCGAGGGGGTGCAGAGTCCACGGCGCCCCCCAGGAGAGCACGTGCTGGACCTGGAGGGCGTGGTATTCATAAAAACGATTTGTTCATGTGGCGTGCAGAGCTCCTCTCTCAAACCTAGTCTTGCTAGTACCAGACAGAGGGGGGTTACTCTGCATGACAGTGGTGACGCTGTTGTTGGCTGGCGTGACATTTTGAGTGCCTGCGTGCCCTTACGACGGTTTTTCAGTTCTCTGATTCGCCCCCGTCCCACCTGCCTGCCCCTCTCCCTTTTTCTCTGTCTCTCTTTCGCTCTCTTAATCTCTCTTTCTCTGCGTGTGTGTGTCTCCCTCTCCCTTTCCTCCCCCGCCCCCGCCCCCGTCTTTTCTCTCTCTCTAAAAACAGCGCTTCCTCCCCCCAACAGCGCTGCACCCTTCCCGCTGTTCGAGCTCCAAGCGAACGCTGTAGCCGCCGCCATCGTCGGGTGGGCCTCCTTTCCCTCCCTCGCGGAGCGTGAGCAGTGGCTCCGGGGTGACGAAGACAGGATCCGAGAGGGCGCAGTGGGCCCTTCCTCGCCCGGCGCCCACCTGCTCGGGGGCAGGCAGTGGGAGTACCTTAGACGTCTCCTGCGGATCGCTTCGGGGCCGGGGGTCTTGGGGCGAGGGTCCACCGCCGAAAACCACGCCTTCCAGGGTGGTGCTGGTGCTGGTGACGAGGGTAGTGCCATCCCGAAGGCTTCTAGCAAGGAGGCGTCGCCGTCGTGAGGAGCCGCCGCAGCGACAGAGGAGGGCGCGCAGCAGTGGCACCAGCTAGAGCTTGAGCCACTGCTGAATGTGCTGAGCGTGAGGGAGACCATCTACAACGACGTGGGCGACAGTGGGCTCGGCTTCCCCGGCGGGCCGGACGACTACCTACGGCGCCAGTACCGGGTAGAATGGGATAGCGGAAGGATTTCGGTGTCCTACGCCGATCGCAAGGCGAATGGCGAGGGACCTTCGTCTCCGGCAGCTTCGTAGCATATCTCTCGTCGCCGGCAGCTTAGTGTTTATAGTCTGGTGTAACAGGGCAACCAGATATTGCGGGGTAGCTTTTCGGGGGATACATTTTTTTAGAAATTTTCGGCGAAATAGCGAGATGTTTTTTATCGTTTGTACGTTTTCCGGCCGGAAGGAAACACGGTTTTGTAGTGTAGCTGATGTGGGTAATGTTTTGGGGCTTACGTAAATTGCTATTGATTGCCAGGCAAAATGGTGACAAGGGTGACAAGGGGCGTTAGGCGCACTGCGACTCGTTCTGTACGCAAAACACGAGTCGTAGAAGGGAAACGCAAGCAGCTCGTAACGTGTAAAATGAAATCGGGAATAGGCAGCAGGTCTTGCGCGGTTGTTGGCGGTCCTTGACTGACCTAACAAGTCTTCTCTGGTCTCTGTGAAGAAGAACTTCCATCCGTGATCTCGACGGTCGATAGCGGTCCGCCTCGTCTCACCTCCTTTCAACTCTCATTCTAGACCTCTGGTTTCACAAGTGGGGCACGTGTAGGACCACGTGGATAGCAGGACAGGTTTGGTGAAACCAGAGAGAACGTATGGAATGAGAGGTGTAAGGAGGTGAAACGAGGCGGACCGATATCGGCCATCGAGGTCACGGATGGAAGTTCCTCTTCACAGAGAGCAGAGGAGACTTATTAGGTCAGTCCAGTCCGAGGGATAGACTGTCCTGTTGACGCTGGATGTTACAGATATAGATACATCAACAAGGAGGCGTGTTGGTTCAGGAGACTCAAGTCCCACGCAAACCTAGATACTCGTTCATGCTTTCGAGTACAGTCGACTCCGCTTTAAAGACAAACCACGTTTTCCCCAAAAAAAAGTGTCTTAAACGCGGGGAAGTGCCTTTCAAATTCCGGGGCCACTAAGACACCATCCCCGGGGCCAATGAAGGCGAAACATATGTCAAAAGGTGCGCATTCGCAGCAGAAAGGCGACCACAAGAGGTGTTGTTTGAAACCTACGACACAAGGTGATTTGAAGGTCGCAACCACTGCCGCTATTGTGCTGCAATACATACATACATACTTGCATACCATCGTTTGAATTTCCCCGTACTGTACCACCAAAACGCTGAAAGCGATGGTGTTCTACGACCTACGCATCGTACATGTACACGACGATAGTGCGCTGGTGTTGATATGGGCTTAATTGCTTGCTTTATTTTATTTTGTAGGCGTTGTCCTCCCCGTGAATATCTTGCCCAAGATCTCGCATCCGCACCTGAGAAATATCGAAGGTTGTAAAACGACACTAGGAAAATGTAGGTTACGCAGAAGCACAGAGACCAAAATGTCGGGAAAGCACAGCGACAAAGAGGACACCACGCCTCATAAAAGGTCAAAACGAGGCACAACACAACACAAACGCCAAATTCAACCTCACGAAACTTCACCCAAGGCAAACACGAACGTTANTGTAAAACGACACTAGGAAAATGTAGGTTACGCAGAAGCACAGAGACCAAAATGTCGGGAAAGCACAGCGACAAAGAGGACACCACGCCTCATAAAAGGTCAAAACGAGGCACAACACAACACAAACGCCAAATTCAACCTCACGAAACTTCACCCAAGGCAAACACGAACGTTAGCAATAAAAGTGCTTTGCTCTCGAAACCAAAAACTACACCCGCCACATATCCCGAAGAGTCGCCTGCACCCCCCCCCCCTCCTTTGCTCTTCGCTTGACCTGAGTTTCATGAGTAAACGAATGCACCGTCTTCGAAAGAAGGCACGCCGTTTCGCTGTACTCGCTGTCTCTTCCATGTGAGTAAAAGTAAGAGCGGACATCTTCGAGACGAGAGCGAACCACAGGTGCTGCAGCACATTTTCTGAGGGGGGGTCGAATGATGGAAAACCCTACGCCCCCTACTTCTTCACATCTGCGGGGCACCATGTTTCTGATATTTTTTTGTGTCCTTGAAGCGGGGAGTGTCTTTAGAAATGGTGTCTTCAAAGCGGAGACGACTGTACATACTACTGTGGATAACTACGTCTCATTCGCTGCCGGTTTCGTACGAATCGTATCGTTATTACAAAAACCGAGACGCGAAAAAAGAGTTAGACGGTATCTCCCTGCAAGGGTGCTTCATGAATTGTTCGACGACGAGGTTGCCAGACGCATCGGCAAGGACAATTTGCAACTGCAGTATCATAGTGGGGTTGTGTCTCTTTCCGATCACTTTGGAGACCTGAGAATACAACGAGAGTACTCCGCGACGGAAGTAATGCAACACCAACACTGGTACATATACCCGCCCTATCTCCAAAAAACAAGATCAGGTTCAGGCTGACTTGTTAAGGCTCGGGCAATAGATTGCTCATGTTTTGCATAGACAGAGGACAGCGTGTAGACGCTCGTCTCACGGAGACTAAACGCTTTTCATGTTGTTCCACGCTTCGATTGGATTCTTCTATTAAAAATTCTCATGAGAGGGCCGGGACTTGGCGCTGGCATAGTTTCGTTCGAGCGGATGTATCGGCGAAGCAAACAATACATGACCTTGCTCAGACTGCAACAGCCTTGCGAGCTCATTTCCACACGCGGCAAAGAACAAAAAAATCATCCACGACACACAATACAGATATGTCAGCTCAAACGGCGTCATCAAACGAAGCGCCCCGCACACGACCAAGTTGGCTACACCGCTACTGTTCCCGCTACCGCTACCGCCACCGCTCGTGAAACAAACTGTTCACAGTGAAGATGAGGTCCCATCAAAACGCCAAACAGCAACCGCCTTCACAAACCTGCCCCGTCCCTTTCGTGTCTTCTGCTCCTATCTGAAGGGTGTACGCACGGCGCCCTCGGGGTCAACCGACCGTCTCTCGTAGACAATGTTCTCAAATTTCGAAAGAGCATCAACGGACCTGTGTTGTAGCTTGACTCTGGGGCCTCGCACACCTTGAAGAGGGCTCTCACTAGAACATACCACTTCGTGTCGACGCCTGCTGCTAACTTATCGCAACGGCAGCGGAGGAAACACGTGGTGGGTGGGTGGTGCAGCGTAATGGGCAGCAGCAGCAGCAGCAGCAGTCGGACCAATCATCGATCACGATCACGATCAGTCGTCCCCACGGTAGAATTCCCTCTTGATTTTTTCCGGGTCCCCCCGGGTGGTGCCGTCTATGAAGACGTCCGGCGCTTTCGTCAACCGCTCGTCGTGCCTCCTCACCAAAATCTGCGACACCTTTTGCAACTGCTTCACGTCCTTGTGGATCTCCGTTTCCTGCACACGCAAAAAAGCGGGTGTAAAAGTCAGTGGTTGCAGGGGCTAGAAATGGACTGGGAATTGCGCACATTGATCGCTTACGGTGGGGCAAACGTATGGTCCATGCACAACAATTTGTCCACTAACGTCTTCTGTGATTACTTTTGAAAGAAACAGAACGGGACTGTGAAACAACGATATTCGTGATCACCTCGTAGAGCTACGTCGATAACTCGTGTCATTGTTTTCATAAAAAAAATGCACCATTCTTGGCCGAACAATGATCCACGGGACCCCCTTTACAACCACGAAGGTACCTATGTAACCACGGTGCCTCCAAGTTATCACCACGGAGACCCCCTCTAAAATTCCTCTCGCATCGGTATCACTTGTATTGGCGCCAAAACGAATTGTCGCTTTTCTCACGAACAAGAGAATTTCTTGGAAACAAAAGACAAACACTACACTGGGATTGATGAAAGGAATCGTTTGTCGCACAATGTTAATAAAAAACCGGCTAGCTGGATCTCGTGAACGAAAATGATCAAGCTGGCCTCATTAGATCCGTTCATTGATCGATAACTCCGTCAATTTTGAATATAAAAAAACAAACAAAAAAGCTCACAGCTAATGCCGAGATCTATTCAAATTCGTTGAGATATTCGAAATCGGCTAACAGCACCACCCGAACGAAACCAATCAAGCTTTCCCGCTTACTCCAGACTAAAGAGACAACAAAGACATAAAAAAAAAAAGCGACCTGCGCCTGGACACGGGGCGTTTGCCGGTGTTTTCGGATTTCGGAACAAGCACCCCTACCCCGAGAAAAGTACACCGTTGTGCTGGGGAAATGATGGACAAATTGTAGGCATCTCTATATTCGTCAGCCATTTAATTTAGAGCGGTTCATGCTAAACGCACGCGCACGAGCCGAACGACCTTCGAGAGGATTGTTTTTTTGAAACAGAGAGGGGGATTTCGTATCCCTATCCCTATCGCTAACCCCACCCCGCACCCCACACATAAAACCAACTAACATCCTCGCGAAGGCTCCTGCACGTGCCCGGGGGGGCGGGGACCAAAAACCCTTCCTTGTTCTGCCCTCGAAGACTTGGGCATCGTTTCAATTGTTCCGACAGTTAGTGCAGTGAGCTCTGACCAAACCAAACACAGACAGACGAGCTTTCCGTTCAGAGACTGAAGTATTTCCATTGGTAACAAGCCGGTTAGTGCGGTCGATGCTAGTAACGGACACCCACCGCCGATGACGCCAGCGTTTGGCATCGACTCGTCCAACACCACCCACCGCTAAATCA